GATGATCTGAGCCATGGGGCAAGTTTGTTTTCCTAAGAATTTTTTTTGAACATTTCGAGAGCACATGTTTGAACATTTAAAGTGCATATGAACATATATGTACGAAAGGTCGCCTCCGAGGGGATAAATCACCATGTCGAACATTGCATTTTTGTTCCTGCCTCTCGCGTTCTCTTCTCTTCCCGCTGTCCTACCTTTCGTGTCTCCCTCCTCTCAAGTATACATATAATAGGGGGGCAGGTGAGAGCCGTGGGAAAAAGACCGTGTTGCTGCCTTTTTTTCAATTTTTGCTGGGTTTTTTGATTTTCTTCATTTTGAACTTCTATTTCACTGGTTTGCCATCTTAACTACCGAGCTTTGATGTGCCATCAAATCGGTCGAAGGGATCAGGCGCTTTTTGTGCCTTTTTTGCAACTTTTCACCAGTTTTTTGATTTTTTTGATTTGGGACATTTTGCCCCCTGGTTTGCCATTTTATCTCTCGAGTTTGGATGTGCCATCAGTCCGTAAACCGGTATAGGATTAACAAACCAATATCAATCAAGCCCAGCTCGAGCCCCCAATATAAAACCAATTTAGAACCTAATTTTCATATTTGCACCACCCTAATAAACACCATTAAACATATTCCCTCCCGTATGAATCAAGCCCATTGTCAACCTTTTTTGCTATTTACTTTCTTTAAGTCAGCATTCAATATCTTCCTATAGTGAAACTGATCCATTGTGAAACTGCTCACCCTTTTACCATGCCATCTCTTTGAGAGATCGCATTCTGATCCACTCATCCATCATTATCATCCTTCTTTTGCTTCTATTCCTGCTTTTTCTTATCATCCTTCCCTTTCAAAATCGCCAAACAACTCGCTTGCAACATTCTTTCATATTCCCTTGTTGAAACCTCTAATAGTAGGGGTCCCTGCCCCTATTACTGTAATCAAGCCCACCCCTTTGGCCTCCATCTTGTCTTCCATCTCTTTCATCCTGCAATCCTTTTCCAAATGATCCCAATCAAAGAAAGCATCCAGCACCACATAGAGCCTCCATCTCCCATTTCTCATCAATCAACCATCATCCTTCACACAGAATCCCATCAGCCATCAACCATTATCCATCATGGAACTCCCATACAGTCCAGAAGCAGAAAACGAAAGGCAGTTTACAGTGGCGCTACGCAGCGCAGAAATCCTATTTTGGTCTAAGAAACCCAACATCCGACTGCACACTGACTCAGCAGCAGGCACAGCATTGTTACAAGACGAACGCCCAAGAAAAGCTCTACACTCGACAACGGGTGAAACCCCACGTTATCAACATTCGCAAAGGTTACACGCGATGGAGCAATATATAGCAATGTTATGCAATATTCACAAAATGTGCACTACAGCACCTAAGCCATGGCCGAAATAGAACACGGAATAGAACTGCGTGCCAAAGAAAATGCAACACTATATATAGTTGCATTTCGGGCTACTACATGTAACATATATATATATATGATTTCCCGCACTTGACCTTTTTTTGCACTACTGTACTTCTTCATCTCTCACACATGCTACACCGGTTAAGTTTTCCATACCGGTTAACTCTTTTAGCATTTTTAGCATACCGCTGAAATCAAGCCTTGGCCAGCTGCTACCGCGTGAGCCTGTGGAGAAAACGGTGCAGAGTGACTACTGTTTGCAGCACTGCGTTACTGAATGCATCACCCCCAACTACAAGCTTTGTCCAAACAAGTAAGTTCGTCGGCAGTCACGTGCAAGAGGGGCAGAAAGAGAGAGGGAGAGTGACTTGCATGTACCCAGGTTCACCCTGGATGGTGACAACTTGGTGAACTGCCTTCAGAATTCTCCCAGCTGCGCTGCGATGTTCTTCGAGTATGCCAAAGAGTTCACTTCAGCCGTGAAGAGGAACCTTGGTATATATACTCGTAGGGGTTGGGTGCAATTGATATAAATTCAACCTGCGTTTGCGTTTGCTGCCACTCTTGATGGCAGTTGTTTGTAGTGGTTCATGCAGGAGTTTGCTGCGCAGTTGTGGTTGTGGTTGTTGTAGATTGTAGATGAATGTATATGAATGTCGTCGTCGTCGTCGTCGTCGTCGTCGTCGTCGTCGTCGTCGTCGT